GACTCTTCTTGTTCTCATGGGTCTGGGGCCACACTGATTCATCAACTCATGGGTAACCTCCCTGGGCCTTTCTTGTAACCAATGACTCGGGAAACAAACAGACAAACAAATAAATAAATAAAGGCACTGGGTGGGGCAAGGTACGTTCTTTCCCAATCCAGTAAAGTGAGCTCAACCAAATCACATCTCCCAGGCCACAGACAGTTTTCAACACCCGAATTTAGTGAGATAATGAGCCCCACCCCACCAGTGAATGCTTTTCTAAATATGTATTTTACGTGCTTTAATTGACAACCCAGGTTTTACACACATTTATGGTGTGACAGAGCTCTGATTAGCCAGACTGGATGCACACATGCTTATATGATGTGTGTGTGCTTGAATGAGCGGGTAGGTAGGCACATGAATGGATGGATGGATGGGGAGATGGCTAAGTGAGTGGTCAGATGGGCATAGATGAGTGGTTGGGTAGGTGGGTGGGTGGGTGGATAGTTCCGTGTGGGTATATGGGTGATTGGACAGATGGATGCAGAGATGGATGGGTAGGTGAGTGGATGGATAAATGAATGAATGAATGGATGAGTGGGTGAGTAGTGCATAAATGGATGATGAAAAGATGTACGGCAAGATAGATAAGTGGACGGATGGGTAGATACATGGATGAATGTATAGGTGGGTAGGAGGTTGGGCAGGTAGAAACATGACAACCTGTATGAAGTGATTTGTCTAGTTATATGGATAACAAGTGGCCCAGCCAGACTTTGCACTAGGGTCGCACTGGGGTCTGCGCTGGAATCCTGCATTCTTTCTACCCCACTATATAGAGCCTTTGGTCTTGCACCAGATGGCGTTTTGCAGATCTCAGTAACAGCAGAGCCTGGCTCCCCGAGAGGCCGACTGAGGCCTGCCTCTGGCCTGAGTGCATCTCTTGGCTTAGCATGGCTGAATCCTCAGCAGAGCCTATAGGAATGGTGTTGGTCGATTCTGTATTACACTAGGAAATGAGCCACAGGTGGTGACTGAGAGGTCGTGTGGCGGGAAGGCAGCACCGAAGCCCCCTCAGTAGGAAGCTGGTTAGAGTTCACTATCAGACCAAGCATGTTGAGATCAGAGCTGACACTCACTGACCTCAGCCCAGAGTGCAAGCAAAGTGACCTGGATATGTTCCTCAAAAGCACAGCCCACGTAGGAAGAAACAGAAAACAAGTCTGCTCATCTTGATCCTGGACCAGATGACAAGACTTGAGACACTCTCTCAGAATTCAGACTAACACAGTCCCCAAACCAAAAGTGGAAAATTAAATTAACAAAGTCCAGGTCTGGCACCGCTCCCACCAGACTGCAGAAGCAAGCAGAACTATTCTGGAATAATCTGGCTCCATTGTAGACTTCAAAGAATGAGCAGAAATAAAGTTATAAGGAAAACAGATATGTCAGGGTAAAAATCACAAACTATACCAGAAACCAACTATCATAGGCAAGAGCTAGAAAAACTAACAGGCCAGACACAGACACACAGACATACACAAATACACACACACACACATATACATACACACATACATATATACACACATAAACAACACATATATACATACACATATACACATGTATATATACACATACACACATATATGTGTGCACACATACATATGCACACTTATATGTGTAGAAACACATAAATATACACACATATATGTGCACACAAGTATCACATACACACATACATATATACATACACACATTAATACATATACATATATACAATATACATCCACAAAATGTATACATCACACATATACATCCACATACACACATAAACATATACATGTATACATGTATACATATACACACATAAACACATATTCACACACATACATATATACATGTACACATGAACACACATATACATACAAGCCTATATCTGGGGAGATGGACTAGTTGATAAAGTCCTTGCTAACAGTATGAAGAGCTGAGTCAACCCCTGAACCACACAGGAAGGTCAGTGCAGTGGCCACACCTGTAACCCCAGCACTGGGAAGGTAGAGACAGTCAGATCCCCCGTGCTCACTGAATGGACTGTCTAGCCCAGGCAGTGGGCCCTAGGCGAGTGACAGACTATGTTTCAAAAGATGAGTGGTGGGCCTGAGGAACTATATCCAAGTTGGTGCATGTGTACACACACTTATACACACACTCGAGAAAGCAGATTCATCAGGGACAGTGTAAATACTGCTTGCGGCAATGGTGGGGGGAGAACAGGATAAAAATAGCCACCTAGAACTTCCAGAAAATAAAATTACCATGGATTTTTGAAAACTTTCACTTGAAGTAATTATATGTTCACAGGAAAATACAATGGTCTGTGCACACAACTTACTGTTTTAGCCAATGGTAACATATTACACATACTCCTGCATCAGGGGCAGCTGCTAACACTTGGGGAAAAGGAAGAGAGATGCTAGCATGTATCCCCACCTGGTGGGAAACCTATGTGCATGGAAGGCTTTTTGTTTGTGTGGGTTTTTTTTGGCTTTTGTTGGTTTTTATTTTTAACTACATAAAATTCTTCAAGATGGAAAAGAATTAACTTCAACTAAATTTGCTATCAGAAAATACCATGGTGAAAGCAGTATGAGAAAGTCCTCATAAGTAAAAGAAAAAGACCCTGGGGTTCCCAGATGCTCACAAGCTAAGCTAAGTAGTGTGATTGTTCTGACCTCTTTCCTTCATCCTTTCCCTGAGCACTAACAAATCTTACCTCACTCCTCCTGAGCCACAAACCTTCGCTCTCCCAGTGCTCCTGGCCTGGGCCACATACCCTGCTCCCAACTCTCTACCCCTCCCACCCCTGCAGTTCATCAGAGTCCTCTATAGATCCCCTTGGTATAGTAGACATGGTCCTGAGCATGTCTCCCAGGCTGGCTGTGACATGCCGCTTTGTGTCACAGCAAGACGGATGGAAGAAAACCCCTCACGCAACATGCTCCTTTGTTTGTGTCTGCTCATGTGTATGTGTGTTCACATGTATGTGGGGGTACACATTTGCACATGCATGCGGAAGCCAGCAGTGTCTTGCTTGACTGCTTCCCACTTCATTACTACAGCAGGGTTTCTCATTGAAAGTAGGGTTTGCTGATTTGGTTTCTCCTGGGGATCCTCTCTCTTCGTCTCATAAGTGCTGAGATTATAGGCAAGCTGCCATGTCTGTTTTACTTTAAAAATTGGTTATTGTGTGGGTGCATAGTTGAAGGGGGTAGCTCACATGCCATGGGACATGTGTGAAGATCAAATGGCAGCTTTGTGGAGTTCATTCTCTCCTTCATTTTTATACATGTCCTCTGGGGAGCAAATTCAGGTACATGGGCTTGCATCTCAAATGCCTTTACCTGCTGAGCCATCTCACTGGTCCCTCCAAGCTCATATGCAGGTGCTGGGGATCAAACTCCAATCCTCATGCCTGTTTCAGGTAAGTGTTTCATCTGTTGATCCATCTCCCTAGCCCTCTACAAATGCTGCTAATATGACTGTATCTTCCTTCCATTGGGAGGCAGTGTCCCTGTCTCCTCCCCTAAACTAGGAGGGCTTTTTTGTTTCCATCTGCAGAGACTAGCAACAGTTACATTATTTGACTTCTAAGGCTAAACTTAAAAGGCAATTTTGTCTCTCTTGGGGCTGTCCAGACATTCTCCTTCAGATCTCCAAACCACTGTGGCAGTCAGTGCTCTGGCTGCTGGGCTGTGAGAAACTCCTAACAGGTCTCTGCAGAGAGACCACGGGGAGAGAGGGCTGGGAACTGGTGAAGACACCAGAAGCCCTGCTAGCCCCACCCCTACCCTGCTCAGCCTCTGGTTTACTCTGCCACATAGGACATATCTCAAATAGAATCATGTAGCTGAGGCTTCTGTGAGGTCCCTGACCCACTGAAACCACAAGAGAATAAAGTTACTATTTTAAGGTGCTAAAATTTGAGAGCAATTAATTTTTCATCTTTAATAGTTACAAAGCTAACTCTGGTGACAGCTCCCAGCAAACTGCACACTGGGTAATAACTGAGTTTCCAGGCAATATATTCACAGCTGAGAAGTATTTTATTGCTTGTGTGTGTGTGTGTGTGTGTGTGTGTGTGTGTGCATGCACATGTGTGCACATGTATGTATGACCAAAGGTCAATGTGAGTATCTTCCGTAGCTCCCCACCTTACCTTCCGGGGGTCTCTCACTGAATCTGGAACTAACAGATTTGGCATAATAAGCTGGCCAGTGAGTGGCAGAGACCCTCCTGTCTCTGAACTCGCCACTCCCAGCTCTGGGATTACTAGTGTGTGCCACCATGTCCAGGCTGGAGATTCAAAGTCAGATTCCTCACACTTGTAAGGCAATCATTTTTTCTATAAAAATATCTCTACAGTCTTTATATTTTTATTTAAGAGGGAAAAACAAATTAAAACCACACAAAACAAAAGCTCAAAACTAGAGTGGTGTCTCAGCAGTTAAGAGCACTGGCTACCCTTCCAGAGGACCCAGGTTCAATTCCCAGAGCCCACATGACAGCTCACAACCATCTCCAACTCTAGTTCTAGGGAATTTCTCTCTCTGGTGTCTGTGGGCACCAGGCATAGAGATTTGCAAAGTCATGCATGCAGGCAAAATATTCATACACACAAAAAGTAAGGTAAATTTAACAAAACCCCAAGAACTCTTGGGGATGAAGAGATGGCTGGTCATACAATTGTGAACACCAGAGTTCAGATCCCCATCACACATGTAAAAGCTAGGTGTAGCTCCACACTGAAGCCGTAGAGGAGGTGTGTACAGGCGGATTTCCCAGGCTTGCTGGCCAGCCAACAATGAGAAACTCTATCTCAGAGGGTAGAGAGTGATGGAGGACACCCAGTGGAAGAGCCTGGCTTCCACAGATGCATGCATGGATGAGCACACATGCACATGTATGCATACATCCTCCCACAAACAACATAAAAAGCAAGTGCTTAGCTCCAACTTAGCACATTTAATAGACACTAATGATTACAGTGTGGTTGCTTCGCTCCAGGAGGCGGGACACAACCCAGCAACCTCTGCAGAAGCCCCCTCCAAGCAGATTTCTCCAGTTCTCCATGTACAGGATCGAATTCTACTCATTCCATTTCAGAAAACGTCTTGCAAGGAGTTTTATTGATCGCACAGACTCGACAGAGCTCAGTGAAGTGAAGCAGACGATAAACAAGGTAGAAATCCCTGTGCAGAAAGAGGGAAGTCGTGGTCACCACTGCTCGAGAACTCACATTGTGTTTTATTCGGAGCAGAGAAAAGAAACTTGTGACCCTGGGTGAAGAAGCTCAGCCATTGGGTCAGCGGGTAGCGTAGTGGGAGAAGCGCTTGCTGTGATGGCCTGAGTTCCATCCCTGGAATGCACAGCAAAAGGAGACAACAGATTCCTGAAAGCTGTCCAGTGACCTCCCCTTGGGTACCGTGACATGTGTGCCTGCATACATCAACTACTATCCCCCCAGTTGGATTACAAAATTTAAAAAGGAAACTCAGCCATAGGTTTGGAGTCTCAACCTCAAGTCCCCATGCAATGTAAGCACCTATTCGTCCATCTTTCTGTCCATCCATCCATAGATTGATCCATACATCCACCCACCCACCCACTCACCTATCCTTCCACCCATCCATCCACCCATCCATCCATCCATCCATCCATCATCCACCCATCCATCCCTCCAC